GTGAACCCAAAGGGCAGGAAATATTTTGGGAGATACATTTCTGTTTTCTATCATTCTACCTTTTTGTACGAGGTATACTTTCTCCTCTTAGGTTTAGTTCTACATCATTCCCACCACCAAATCATTTCTGAGTTACAGGTCCAAGTGTTACATGATTTTTGTTATTGTGAAGGGGAGCTTTACATTATTTTCATGTTCTACACTGGTAGAAAAGCTACTCGTATGTGGGTTTCCTTTATTTGGACACCTTGCTGTGCTCTCTTATTAGTTCTATTATTTGTTCAGCTGGTTGTCTGTGTTTCTAACTAGGCAGTTACATTTTTTGTAAATAATAGTTTGCCTCTTCTTTTATTGTATCTTTGCTGTTGGTTTTCAGTTTAAATGACAGGAGTTGTTTCTTCAAATTTAGTTGACATTGTGGAACACATAAGCACCTTTTAGGGTTAAACAGTGGGAGGGTTGTTTATTGAATACTGTTTTAAGTTTACTTTCACAATCAGGTTTTTTATAATCAGTTTTAGTAATTTATATTTTTCATAAAATTAATTACTGTACATTTATCCATAATATACATTTCGTATAAAATATACTCGCCATGACTGTTTATACCATCTTCCAAATTCCCCGTTTTATTTTCCTTTTAAGAAATGTAAAAGGTGGCCCTCCCTGGTGGCGCAGCGGGTTAAAGCACTGCACTAAGAAACTTAAGCCAATTCCTCATGAGTTTGATCCCCGCCTGCCCCGGAGGTGACCACATGGCGTGGCAGACCTCTCCTGATCTGCCTGTTCTGCTCCCCACTCTGTTCCTGGTGAATCCGCTCACCTTCCACATCTCTGGCCTGTACCCCAGTTCTGTATGAATAAATAAATAAATCTTTAAAAAAAATGTAAAAGGTAACAATTGCATAATTTTTAAAAATTTATAAATATATGTAGATCTACCGTGGAATTATCTCTCCATCCTTCAGCTCTCTGTCCAGTTTTCACTATCTCACACCCAGACAAGTACCCACCACTGTCAGTGCTTTCTGGGTGTTCTTCCAGAGCTTCCACATATGTAAAGTAGAAATAAACTTAAATGTATAATTTTCTCCTTAAGTTAGCATATACTATACATTAAATACAGGGTCTCTCGCTAATTTTTGCAGCTGTACTCTTTTCCGTTATATGAATGTGCCAAATATATACATATATTTTTAATAATACAAGTTTATTTTATTACATCATTTTGTGCCTTTTTCCATCTCAATTGTAATCCCCATGGGATTCCACCACCAAGTCACCCGTGTGCCATCACCATAGTCCTGTGTACTTCTTCTCCCCCGCCCCCCACAGTTTCACCAAATATATTTAAAAGTGGTTATATTTGAATTGTTTCTAAACTTGGAGTTCAAGCCATGATCTTGTTTCGTTTTGTCTCTGGGCCAAATCCTTATACACCAGGTCAAGAGAGCTCTTTTTGTTATTGACTAAATGTTGCCAAATTGCCCTTCACAAAAGTTGTAATATTTACATTCTACTAATAAAATAGAACTTGTATTGCACTTTTATTTAATTTTTTGGGTCTGACCTACTCAAGTTTAAAAAAATTGTTTCTGTTTATTTAGTTATTTACATGCTGTAATTCACCCTTTCACTGCACAGTATGCAGTGTGATTTTATTTTACATGCTTCTTATTATAAGCATGATGTGTTATTTGTACAATCCCAAAGAGATTGGGATTGCAGAATCTCAAAACATAATGAATACAACTTTTCAACTTGTACATTCTTAGGTCTTTCAACCTCAGCAAATTTCATTCTTTGGCAAATTCAAAGCACACAGACCAATACAAAAAGATTTTTTGTGATGTGTTCTTGCCAATTTTGGAGAAGCGCAGTAAAACAAATTAACTGTCAAGATGGAAAAGCTTAACTGGGAAGGTACAGTTATTGAATAATTGAAAGGAAGAGGAAATGCATTACCGATTAGCCACAAAAATGCATGACGTCTAATCTGTGCCTCAAGAGATTTGTGTAAAAGGGGAGTCATAAAACCATTTCAGCCCCAAAGTTCTTCCCAGCCTTCAAACCCGTCACTGCCTTGCTTATCGGTTGCAGTAGCAGAGCTTTGATGGATTGATGATAGCTTTCAGGGTGAGCTGAAGTTTAGTATTCCAGTGACTCTTTGTGTGGCTTTTCTGGTCCTATACTTAAACATTTTTGCTGGATCCTGGATTTACCTTTACCTGCTTTGTTTGAGGATTTTTGCTTATTACTAGGCAACATAGTATAAAATTAGAGAAAAGGCTTGGTGTTGGCAGAGATAGGACTAAAATCCAAGCAAGGCCTGTAACTTACTAAACAGCCAATGATCTCCTGGTAAGCAAGTTTCTTAAATTCTCTGGGCTTATTCCTCCTCTGGAAGGAGAGGGTTGGATGAGATCCCGGCTACTCACAGAATGTCTGTCAGTGTCTCAGCATCATCTGGGGGATTCTCAGGTAGACTCTGGAGCGTCCCCCACTCCACAATACAAACACCCCCCCCCAGATGTGGAATCGAAATCTGCATTTTCATCCGATCCTCAGGTGATCTGTGTGCACATTTAAGTTTGAAAGTGCTGGCCTGGCCTCTGGGTTCTGGGCTTCTCCAAAAGTCTGTGGATTTAGGTTTTCTCAGTCATTCCTCATAGCTATCCCTACAGATGTGCTGGGTACTCTGGGAAGATTTTTGTCTTCCTGCTTCCTCTACTGTCAGTGGTGACAGTGGCTCCAATTTGGTACTCCAACTGTGTTTACGGAAACAGTGGGCACAACAAAGGAGACTAGGGTGAAAACCAACGCCATGCAGAGCCTTGGGAAGCGAGCCCAGGACCTGCAGCGCCTTCTGCAAACTTGGCTGTGTTGTCCAAATTCATTAAATAAAGAACAAGGAGACAGATTTAAGCTAGACATAGGAAGTACTTAGCTATGTATTTTTGACATGCTTCCTTACCAGCAGAAGTAAATTTAAATGATACCCCCTTGGAAAACAAGGTTTGCTTTAATATGTGAAGGAGAAACTTGTTTAAGACTTCAATTATTGGAGGATGACTTTGGTTGAAACTTAACATGATAGACAATATTTCTGTATTTATTCTTTACTATTCCAGTCCAGAGAGAACAAAGCAATACAAGAGGATAAAAACGTGTTCCTGCCATTTTGTGGAGCATAATGATCCTAAATTAGCTGTCAGAGTGGGAAGAATTCCTATTTTCACACATAGAGCTTCTTGCTGAGTAAAACCTCTTTTATTTCATATTTCTGGATTGTTAGTGCTTTCTCTCGCAGACCTAGCTTAACGAGCCTCTATTGTATGGAGCCTATGGTTTTCATTGAGCTTGTTTAATTGCTTGCTATGGGAAAAACTTGTGAAAAATGATAGAAAAAGCATTGAGAGAGAAGCAGAGCCAGAACACCTGGTTGTGGTGTCTGCAGATAAAGGGTCTTCCTTCCTTGGCGATTTAGGCACCTTTTTTTTTTTTTTTTTTTTTAAATTGAAAGGGGTCTGTCTACATCAAGTATTTTGATGTTCCTTTTCAGCCCACTAGTAAGAAAAAGTAAGTTTCGGGGGATTCAAAAAATTTGTTTATCATAAGCAGACATCTTCCTTTTCTTCTTTCTGCCATGTTGCTGTGATTGTCCTAGGTGTGTCCATGAGACATGAATATTGCAAATTTCATTGTAGCCAAAAGCTCTGTTTTATGTATACAACCAATGTTGGTACGGGTTGTATCTGTTTTAGCAAAAGAACCTTGAAAATAATGAATTGCTTTGCTGCAGATTCCAGGGAAGCAAAGTGACAAGAAATAGGTGAGAACATTTATACAGATTAGTAGGACCAGAGAGAATACCAGGTATTTTTCACACTTGGTACAGTGACATCAGAGGAGAACGGTTGCACCAAAAAGCAGTTCTGATTGAAATGTCTAGAACACACTCCTCATTTAGACAATATTGTCATTAGTCTCACCCTATTTGTGACCTGTGTGTTCATAAAAGAAAAGAATGGATCTTTTTGTACCAAAATGTAGGACAGGTGATTTTCCCTCCCACAAAAATACTGACTCAAAAGTAGGGCCATTCCCTTCTGTTTAATGCCATCATTCTTCTAGCGGACATTTTGGAATTTGACTTACATGATTGTCAAACACCTCTTACACTGGATGGGCACTGAGACCTTTAGACCTTTGGTGACAAAGCTCATGCAAAAACGTGTATTTTCTACATTTCTCTTCTTGCGTATGAGTTTTACTGAAATTGTATACCTAGCAAGCAGTCCACCTTTTCCCCTCGTTTGGGTGAGTGGTCTAGGGGGAACTCTTCTAGCATGTAGAGTAAATTTGACTTAGATTCACATTTGCACCTCTGGTCTCAACTGTTGCTAGGATCAGTTGGTGAGCATTTGGAGGCTGAACTTCTGACCAGACGTATAGCACTTGCTAAACAAAAATTTATGTCTCTAAATGTCAACTGTGTCCCATCAGACAAAATAGAATTGGAAGAAGGCAAGACCAAAAAGGAACATCTGTGTGTGGTTAAATAACATTTGCTTCGTTTGCTATTGAAAACACTTCTCTTTTGTATATTCAAGAACTGTATTTGTTTAAAACAGGAAAAATCAGCTTGTTGACTATTGTTTCTTAATTTTGCTTCATGAAAGGCTTTGCCAAGATGAAGGAAAACATTCATTTTCAGAGTCGCTGTGGCCTAAGTTGCCTTCTGGAATGCGCCCTCCTCCGGCTGGATTGCCCTTCTCCCCACAGGGTGGGGCGGCTGGAGGGGCCACTGCTCATCCCTTGCGTCTCGCACTGGCAAGGCCCATGGTGTATGTGTGCCCCACACTGTGGGTGGCGAGGATGGGACAGGGAGCCGAACACGGCGTAAGCCACGTCATGATCTGGTCTGGGAGATTGCTTTCTCTTCATTTCACACTCACGTGTCATTGCTCTGGTTTTGTCTTTGCTCTCCCCCATTGCAGATCCGGAGTTAGGCACACTACCCGAACATGACAGCCAGGATGCAGGGCCGATTGTCCCCAAGATATCGGGTCTAGAGAGAAGCCAGGAGAAGAGCCAGGACTGTTGCAAAGAGCCGATCTTTGAGCCTGTGGTGCTCAAAGACCCCTGCCCCCAGGTCCCCCAGCCGCTTTCTCAGGCCCAGGCGGAACCCCAAGTGCGAGCTCCTTCTCCGGACCCTGACTTGGTGCAGCGCACAGAGGCCCCGCCTCAGCCCCCACGACCAAGCACACAGCCACCACAAGGCCCCCCAGAGGCCCAACTCCAGCCCGCTCCACAGCCTCAGGTGCAGAGGCCACCCAGGCCACAGTCTCCCACGCAGCTGCTCCACCAGAATCTCCCACCGGTGCAGGCCCATCCCTCGTCTCAGAGCCTCTCCCAGCCACTGTCTGCTTACAACAGCAGTAGCTTAAGCCTCAACAGTTTAAGGTGAGCCAATCTGCTTGGTTTGTTTCTTTTTCTGCTTGACTTTTTGCCATTTCGGGGACAGGCATGTAGTACTCAATAAGGAATTCTGAAAGACACTGTATTTCTTGTGGAAAATGTTTTTAAGGTGGAGACAAGGAAAGAGAAAGGGGCTGTAGGTGAGCCTTGGTATCTTGAGTGTTTTTGACCCAACTTGAGGTTGGGTCGAGTTAGGTGGTCAGGACATTGTTAAAGAACTAAAGCATCCTTAAAGACAGCCCTGGAGGAGTTAAGGCAGGAAGGAGAAGAAAGCTTAAGACACAGAGTTGAGGGCACTGTGCCTGCGAGCCCCACTATTCTTGAGTGGCAGGGACTTGAAACCTGAGAAACTGTGGTGATCACTGACTGTGGAAGATTCTTAGAAGGCTGTTTCTAAGGAGTCAAGGAGGCACTTTGAAGAAGTCACCTCACCAGCAGCTCTAGGGGCGGAGCGCTCTGGTTTGAGGTTGCTTTCATTGTGATTGACTTCCCCTGAGTGGACCAGGCAGGTGGAGAGGAAGCAAGCTAGACTAGAGAATGAGAGAAGTCCTGCCAAGGACCCAGACTCTCTTGTTTGCCAGGTTACAAAGAAAAGTTTTCAAAAGCAGCACAGTGGAGACCTACAAGGAAGAGTGACAGGCGCCCAGGTGCAAGGCCAGGTGGTCCCCACCCTTGGGTGCTGTGGGTGGTTGTACTTCCACCCCCTCACATCTTGATGGGCTTTGTATCTTTGGTTATTTTCCTGGTGACAACCCACTGACAGGTGTTTCAGGACCTCTTCCCCCCCCACACACTTCCCCCATCCCTCATCTATGACAAGTAAGGGGAATTCCTCCCCCAAGGGGCCATCTTCTGACCCCCAGGCCACTTCTGTGGCTCCAGGCCATAGGGTGAAAGGGAACCTGCAGGCGGGGTCTCACTTCTTCTCTGGGTCTCTTCACTGAGGAGGAGGCAGAAAGACAGGGTCATCATTCTTACTCCATTCTGTTAACTGCAGAACTTGACAGGAAATGAGGCTAGTCGGGATAGGCAGGCACAGGGCCTTTTAGGGGCAAAGATGAGAGCCTGGCCATGGAGGTAGGAGCGGACCACGGTGAGAGCAGAATCAGCCTGCTGGAACCCAAGATGTGCAGCCACTGGAGCAGCAGATTCTGTTCTACTAGGCCTGCGATGGTGACAGAAGGCTTCAAGCAGCGGTGATTTCTGGAGGAGGCTGCTGTGTGCAGCGGGGGCAGGGCGAGAACAAAGATGTTAAGTGGCTAAGAGTTGGTTAAGAAAATGCATTGCTTACCTCTTTTTTTTTTTTTTTCTGTTTTACTCTAACAGCAGTAGCAGAAGCAGCACCCCAGCGAAGACTCAACCTGCCCCGCCTCACATCTCCCATCACCCCTCAGCCTCCCCATTCCCCCTCTCACTACCCAACCACAGCCCCCTACACAGCTTCACGCCCACCCTCCAGCCCCCCGCACACTCACATCACCCCAATATGTTTGCCCCTCCCACTGCTTTGCCTCCTCCACCACCACTGACATCAGGGAGTCTGCAGGTCCCCGGACACCCGGCGGGGAGCACCTACTCAGGTAGGAGGGAAACTCTGCCTGCCTTACCTGTGTTCCTGTCTCCCAGCTGTGTGTGTTGTCCCTGGTTGCTAGGATTTATGATTTCTTTACTTACTATATGTATTCTTACACTTTCCCTCTAACTCTTTGTGGGATAAGATTCAGCAGAAGTGGGTCCCAGCACCCATACCAGCCCAGCACAACCAGCTGGATCACACCTGGCCTGAAGACAGCCAGCCAGTTTGCTTTTCCAGCTGAGTTCACCCAGCGGGCAGTCGGGCATAGTGTGTACGTCCTGTCACGTGGGCTCTCAAGAGTGGCCAAAGCTTCCCAGGCCCATGTTTGCTTCACTCCAGGATATTCTGTTGCACTGTGTTTAAGGGGTTTGCTTTAGCTGGATCTTTTTCCCCCCTCTTAGGGGATGATGGACTTTTCATGACAACATACCTGACAAGTTCAAGGATAAACTTAATGCTGGCTCTCAGGTCTTTTCTCCTCTCCTTTATTCCACAGACCTGGTACCCTAGAGTTCCGGTTTGGGGCTCTCCAGAGCCATGTTGCACTACCAGCATAGAGAGCCGCCTGCCCTTGGAGAGCAGGAGGGCCCTGCCACGCCAACAACTCACCTTGGTTATTGGCTTGGCCCTGCTCTTATGCATGCACATATATTAATGCCTCATGAAACAAACTCGCAAGGCAGGCAAGGTTGTTCCCACATGATAGATGAAGAAACAGACTTGGACGGTTAATTTCCCACACCCAGGGTGATTCACCTGGCAGTCACAAAGCTGAAAATTGACTCTGACCATTTGCCTGGAGTCCATCAGTGCACCTCCCTGGGAGACCACCTCTCCCTGAAAGCAGAGAGGCAGAGGGCAGTCAGAAGAATTCACTTGCATCTGGGCCTGGGGCTCCTATTCTGGTTGTCTGTCGCTTACACCTTGGGGCCCAGATGCTCCCTGAGAGCTTCAGCTCCTGTGCCTTGGCCCCCAAGTCCATCTGTACTCAGGATGTCCTATTCGGAAGGCACTAGATGTGGCTGGAAAAGGTGTCATCTCCTCCATTTCTTCTTTCAGAGCAAGACATCCTGCGACAGGAACTGAACACACGATTTTTGGCCTCTCAGAGTGCTGACCGTGGGGCATCCCTGGGCCCTCCGCCCTACCTGCGGACCGAGTTCCACCAGCACCAGCACCAGCACCAGCACACGCACCAGCACACGCACCAGCACACCTTCACGCCGTTCCCCCACGCCCTCCCGCCCACCGCCATCATGCCGACGCCAGCACCTCCCATGGTGCGTACCCCAGGCAGAAATGTGAGGATAAGTAGAGCACGACTCTTTTTTTATGCAGCTTGTGGGGTTGGGTTGGGCTGTTGGGGCACAGGAGAGTAGATGGGGCGAGGTAGCCGTTTAGGGGCCTCCTCGGCCTAGAGAGAAGGGAACTTGCCCTGTGTAGACACACTGTCCAGGCCCAACATAGAGGCTTTTTCTGGATAGTTAACTCTGATACGGTGGGTGAATTTTAGACGTCCTCAAATCGGTCCCATCCAGTGCTGGCAGTTAACTTTGTGAAGGGTAATTTTGGTGCTTGAGCATCACAGGAGTTGCCACCCGATATAAAAAGTGCCGTGCCGAGTACCAGTCACTAACAAATAAATGCTCACAGAATCTGGAAGGCAGGAGGAGAGATGACGGTTGGGAAGTGAGCCCCCAGGAAACTCAGACCTCACTGGGTGCCACCTGCTCTCCAGATGGTTTCCCTACTCCTGCCATGTTGGCAGCCTGTGTTTCATAAACCAGCACCCCAGCCTGACACTGGGCTATGTCAGCAAGTGGTCAGGGGCGATGCGGCCTGCAGAGACAGAACCAGCCCGTGGTCAGAGGTGCAGTGGCCATGACAGGCTCTTGTCCAGATAGGGCCTAGCACATGTCACAGCAACCAGTTAGAATTTCTCTTCTGCTTTGAGCATGTAACGAGTACTGCCATGTTAGAGCTTGTCTCAAACAATGAGTACTAGATTGTGTAGTCTCTTAATTTTTGATACTTAGGGGATACTTGATTTGAAGGTAATGCCTACAGACTTTCTGAGAATAGATTTGAATTTCATGCCTTTAGGGAGAGTTCCTTCTTTCACCAAACTGCTTTCCCTCCCCATTTTGGTCAACTTAACTATTTTAAAATATTTTTGAAGGTTTTTTTTTTAATTTTATATAGAATATTAGATTTGAACCTTGAGGTCCCTACAGCAAAACCTGTACTTTGTTTCTGAATGAACTATGTGTCCATAGTTAGATTTTTAAAAGTTCCTATTGCTTTGAAAGAGTTTAATCCAGCCTGAGTAAGACGTTTCATGAATAAATTCAATCTAACTGGGGGAGAGGTACGGCACCAGGGAGGATGACAGTGTTTAGAAGAGAGAAGGGAGTACTATTTCCTGCTCTAAAGAAAGCTTCTAAGACCGAGCCCGAATTGCTCTGTATTTGAGCATAATACATTTCAGAAGACAGCTGAGTGTACACTTCTTCTGCCAAAGAGAAGATGAAAATTGAGGGAATTCTTTGGATAAGTTAGACCAAATGTTCACTTCTCTCTGATTTAGCTAAATAATTGCCTTTTTTCCCTAAACTGAGGTTTAGATGTTTGGTTTGAGTCCATCTCTAAATACAGAGTATAAAGAAAAGCACAGTTGTGTGACCAGAACCTAAATGCGCCATATGGTGCTCACTTTGTCTTTCCACTTCTGGTGATTTCTTGTCAGAGTGATATAAGAGCTCAGAATGTTTTCCTAGACATTGAGGTTAGAGTCTGACAACAGCACCATGACAGAGAAGCTGGGTAGGGCTATCTCCGCTGAAGCAGTGAACAGAAATGTAGATTCTTTAAGTAACTAGCTTTTGCTTTGATCCCTTTACAGTTTGACAAATACCCTACAAAAGTTGACCCATTCTACCGGCACAGTGTGAGTCTTCTTACCCTGCTACCATTTACTGTGACTGCTTTTCCATTTTGTGCTCTTGCCACAGACCAGTCAATGACTAGCAGCCTTCCGTAATCATCTTTGCAAGATGCCCATTGCTCCTCGTCACTTTGGATGCTTGCTTTTGTGACGTTTGCTTTTGGTAAAGATGCAGTATCTTCTTCTAAATCAAAAGATTACAGCATGTGTAAGACTTTTGAAACAAAGCTAAACTTCCTGAATGCCAGGCAGCATCTGGCCTGCAAAGTGAGGCATCTGCCTTTGAATCATTATAGTTTCAGGAGTCTCTGAAATTACAGTCTTCAGGCAACGTGTTTAACACAGAATTCCTGGAATTCAATTTGAGTTATTTCTTCCAAATAGAAATCCCCTATCTCTTTGACTCAGAACTCATCAAAAATCTGATTTTTGTCCCCTCCTGTCTGGCTAGGGTGGCTAGTTCTGAGCTTGTTACTGTTGAAAATATGAGATATTTACCTCTTAAATATCTTAAATTATCTTAAAATTTAAATGTATCAGCTTTTTTTCCCCTTTCCTTTTGAACTTACAATTTTTAAAACTATCTGTCTTATGCAATTTAAGGGTGCATTCTGGAAAAGTTATGTTCAGTGACTGACAGGTTTTCTTTTTATACAAAGACCTTAAACATCTATCTTAACCATGTATTTTGATTATGGAGTGAATACTGCATCATTTTTACCTCCAATTTTGCAAGTTTCTTTGCGCAGTGGTTTGTTTATATTTTTTAATGAAATCAGAAAGGACTATTAATAATTGCTTGTAGCAGTGTTGATTCACCATACTCAATTATTCTTGCTTTGGTTTTTGGATCGTGTTATCATTTGCATAGAAGTGCTCCTTAATAAACTCACAAAGCCTATGAATTCATTCCTACATGAACCAGATAGGCAGACACTATGTTAGTCCTGACTGTGGCCAAGAAGTCAAGACTAGAAAAAATGGAAACTCATTTTTTAGAGTAAGTAATTCTCTAGAGATGTTCATAAATAACTCCAGGAAAGCCTCTCCAGAACGGAGTGAGGATAATGCTTTGAGTGCTCCAACCTCCCGCCCTCCCCAGCACTGTCCCAATGCTATTTTGCTCAATAGCATGGTAATTTTTAAATGGACATGCAAAATCCAGTGGCCCTGTGGGTTTCTGCTTGGGGTTCTGTCCTATGAATGGTACCATCCTTAATGATCATCAGATTTCTGTCCTTTGCCTTCATCTTACTGAGTTAAGAGTGTTCTTAGAAGAAACTGTAGCACAACAAGTAACTCAGATTTATTTCCCAAGACCAAAGGCATTGCCTTTTCATGTGCGTGTTCCACGGAGGGTCTTAGATCTAAGATGGAGAATAAGTCTGGAGGCCTGAACTTTTGGAAGGTTATGTTTTATTACTTAACATGCTTCAGATTTTCAGTCAAGGTAGGAATAGTCAGTAACATTCTAAGAGGGTCAGTAGACTAAAGCAAAAGGAAAATGGTGAGAATATTTCTTTTTAAATTTTTTATTGAAAACATTAAAGAAAAATACCCACCTAGAGGCAGAGCAATAGAAATTTTAGTGTGTTTTAGTGTGGCAGGTATTTAATTACTCTGCTTCATACCGTATACTGTGGGAGAGTTATTTCATATTATTAGTCATAGCAATAATACGTGAAGTGCTTAGTCTCCCCTGCTTTGGGGATTAGGACGTTATAAGGGGAATTAAGATGCAATGCACTCAAGTATCTAAAACACAATTTTAGACTTAAAAGTAGTTTTAAATGAGGGCACTTGGCTTGCAATCACTGTTTAAGTGGATTTAGTTCAATATCAATTAGTCGGAAAAACTTTGCTGCATCATTGAAGGGAGCAAAATGAGATAAAGACCAACAGGAAGAGTACGTGCCCAGAAAGCAGACAGCCTTGTGGAATGTGATTTTCAGTCATTGCCTAGAAATAGCTAACATGAATGCACTATTACAAAAAGCTTGGATAATTATTCTATTTTTGACATACCATGCTACTGTATGGGTGGGACGTTACTTAACCATCTCTATGGTGTTTCGATCAAAGAAATGGATCCAGAACATCAGAATCTTAGCAATGTCACATTTTTAGAAGGAGGTAAAGATGTGTTTGGATATGTTTTCAGTGTTGCATATTTCTTTCCTCCATGTGTCTTCTACAAACTATTGATTCAAGAAAATTCATATTCTTAATTCAGAATCATTCTTCTCCCTTCATTGAGGGATCAGACTGACATGGCAGGGCTTGACCTGATGGTCTCTGAAGAGCTTGTCTACCTGCTAATAACATGGGGATCTCCTTTGATAGTACATGCAAAGCCATTTTATTTTACCCCTGCACAAATACTTGTCATCATTTTAGATAAGACAATTCAATTTTCCTCAGAGCTGCCACTTCTAGAACAACTTAATGAAGCAAGGATTGTGAATATTTTCTCATTTCCTCAAACTATTAAAAATCTAAAAGTACTAATTGAGTTTTAATGGTATAAAATCCTGGAACTCATAAAGACTTGCTTTTTCTTCCTTTTTCTTTTTTTCTTTTTCTAATTAACTTGTAATTTTCTGGGCATCTTATTTGGCTCAGCACCCCTCCTGTTTTTGATATGCATTAAAATCTCCAACCATTTAGGGCTTCTATCCGATTTAACAATTAATAATTAGAAAAGCTCCCTTTCTAATGATGTCCTCATCTGGGACATCATTTGTTGGCTGATTGATTCTGAACTACTTTTAACTTTTTAAGTTAAACATTCATGGCACATCTGTGTGATCATTTCATCATGGCTTCTTGACTAATAGCATCAAACTGAGATTACTTGGCTTGCTAATGTTGATGTCTTTCTGTGGGAAAGGAATTTGAATATATCATTTGCCTCCTACTAAAATCTTTTTTTCCCTCTCCATCTCTGGCCACAGCTCTTCCATTCCTATCCTCCTGCAGTATCGGGCATCCCCCCTATGATTCCACCCACTGGCCCTTTTGGTTCACTACAAGGAGCATTTCAGCCGAAGGTAAGAAATCTTATAGTGGAAACAGGCATATTAATCCACGGAGCCTCAGACTAGCGTGACGGTGGACTCTGCAACTTCTCTCTCTGGCCAGTGGTTCATTTTTTAGCTCCATACTGAGCATTGGCATTAGAGTGAGAATATTTTTTTTTCTAGCTCATCTAGTTTTAAGCCTCAATGGTAGTTGAATTTTCAATTGGTATTGCCCATGTCACATAATCTCAGTTGAGCTAGCATTTCCTGTGCTCTTTAAAAATATGCAAACTATATATATATACATATGTATGTGTATACATATATTGCTACCAATATTGGGAGGCAGGAATTTATGAAATGTCAGGTATATATTCAAGTGGCCCTTAAGGTAGATATTATTAGCAAAGATGCAGAGCTGAGACTTCAGTGATTTTACTAGAAAGGAGGAAAAAACGTACCAAACTAAAATTTCTTTTTAATTCTATGAA